GAAGGTAAAAAAACATCTTTTATAAATCAAAGTTTTGTTAATTATACCAATTATAAGTTTTTGAGTTATAATTAACAAAACTTTGTACTGATTTTAATGAGCTAAAATAACTTTTCCTAATTTTCTGGGAAGCCGGTACAGAGAGATTAAGAGATGCTGTGTTTGGACAATATTAGGCAAATACATGACTACCAATAAGTGCCGTTTTAAATTTCGCTGACATGCTATTGAGGTACACATAATTGAATCTTAATTTTATCTTTATCTATGATACTAATTTACTATTGTAGTTTTTTTATATTTGTTTTATAACTGCTGCAAAATTGTATATGGCTTATATATAGTAGTTTATATATAAGCTAAAAATTAAAAGATAATAACCACATTCTAGACTGATAGACTGTTAGGCAGTACGAAGTTTGCAGGGTCAGCTAGTCTATACTAATATTATAAAGAGGAAAGATTTAATTGTTTGTTTGTATTGAATAGGCTCCGAAACTACTGGATCGATTCGAAAAATTCTTTCACATTTCGAATCCTTCATTATCCGTGATGAATATAGGCTGAGTATTTCAAAAAAGTTAAGAATTCCGAATTAAAACTTCGATAATGTAACCCAACGTGTGTAAAAAAATACCAAAAAAAACCTTACGTCGCATACGCTGCGTAAGTCATTGACAATAGAACAAAGTAATGTACTAAATAAAGTTTTATAGAGGACATCAATATCTACAAAAAAGTCCGCAATACGATATATTTCTAACTGTCACAGTTATGTCACAACAAGACGTCTCCTGCGATTTCACCCATATTAATTTGAAGAAAATGGTTATAGTGAGTCAAACTTAAAATAATATATGGACATTATGCTGTCGTGGACTTTTTTTAGAGAACTTTTAAAGGGGGTCAATTCTGTTATACATGATTTTTGTGGAACTTCTTTAATCGTTTACCCAGCGCACGCAACGGAATCTCACTAATGGAATATATTAACCTGTTTTTGCACCTTCAGATTTGCGCGTAGAGACAATGAAATAAGGTCTAGATATGCGCGTAGAGACAATGAAATGTCGTAAAAATTTAAGAGCTTGCATTTCAAACTGTCATAACTCTTTAGATGCATGTGGTTTTAATTAAGACCTTATACAGTATGCATTAATCATCATCATCATCATTTCAGCCGAAAGACGTCCACTGTTGGACATAGGCCTCCCCCATGGATTTCAACAACGATCGGTCCCATGCTGCCCGCATCCAGCGGCTTCCCGCGACCTTTACCAGATCGTCGGTCCACCTTGTGGGGGGCCTGCCAACACTGCGTTTCCCGGAACGCGGTCGCCACTCGAGGACCTTTCCGCCCCAACGGCCATCGGTCCTGCGAGCAATGTGCCCTGTCCATTGCCACTTAAGGTTTGCAATTCTGTGGGCTATGTCGGTGACTTTAGTTCTATTGCGTATCTCCTCATTTCTGATTCGATCACGCAGAGAAACTCCGAGCATAGCCCTCTCCATTGCCCTTTGGGTGACTTTGAGCCTTCTTACAAGACCCATTGTAAGCGGCCACGTCTCGGTTCCGTATGTCATCACTGGCAACACGCACGAATTGAAGACTTTCGTCTTGAGGCACTGCGGTAGATGTTCCGAGAAGATGCTACGTAGCTTCCCGAACGCTGCTCAGCCGAGTTGGATTCGTCGATTAACCTCTTTCTGGAAGTTGGACTTACCCAGTTGGACTATTTGTCCCAGGTATACGTATTGGTCAACAACTTCCAGTGTAGAGCCCCCAACAGTCACTGGAGTGGGTACGACATGGGAATTCGACATGATTTTCGTCTTGTCCATGTTCATTTTGAGACCCACTTGTTGGGACACCCTACTGAGGTCGCCGAGCATTGTGCCAAGGTCATCCATGGTCTCAGCCATGACTACGATATCATCTGCAAATCGAAGGTGTGTCATGTACTCGCCGTTTATGTTGATGCCAAGTCCGCTCCAGTCCAAAAGTTTGAAAACGTCTTCCAGCGCAGCTGTAAACAGTTTCGGTGATATATCGTCACCCTGTCTTACACCACGCTGCAGCTGGATTGGCTTCGTGTTTTGGTCCTGGAGTCGAACTGACATAGTGGCGTTTTCATACAACGACTGCAACACTTCGATGTATCGATAGTCTATTTGGCACCTTTGGAGTGACCGAAGCACGGCCCATGTCTCGATCGAATCGAAGGCTTTCTCGTAGTCCACAAACGCCAAGCATAATGGCAGGTTATACTCTTCGGTCTTCTGTATAACCTGCCGCAGCGTATGGATGTGGTTTACGGTACTAAACCCTTTTCGGAATCCGGCTTGTTCGGGAGGCTGGAAGTCGTCAAACTTGCGCGCGAGACGATTCGTGAGGACTCTCGAAAACAGCTTGTATACATGACTCAGGAGCATGATGGGTCTGTAATTCTTCAATTGGGCCCTGTCGCCCTTCTTGAAGAAAAGCGCCACCACTCCCCTATGCCATGCGCTAGGCGTTTTGCCCTCGAGTATGACAGAGTTAAATAGCTTCTGAAGAGATTTCAAGACTGGTCGTCCACCTGCTTTCAGAAGCTCGGCTGTAACTCCGTCATCACCCGGCGCCTTTTTGTTTTTGAGCTGTTTCAGAGCTACACTAATCTCGTACAGGCTGACGTCCGGGATATCTTCGGTGTAGTGTCGGGTTAATTTGGCTCTTGGGTCTGTCGCCTTTGTGACAGGTACTCGTGATGTCGCGTATAGCTGTCCGTAGAAGCTTTCGATCTCAGCCATAAGCTCAGGTTGCGACGAAATGATTCTGCCGTCCTCTGTCTTCAGCTTCGTCAGCAAACTCTGTCCAAGAGACAGATTTCTTGCGAACACTTTCGAGCCTTTGTTCCGCTCGATGGCCTCTTTAATACGATCAGTATTAAAGCGGTGTATGTCGCGAGTCAGAGACTTCGAAATCTGCCTATTGAGCTGCCGACGTGCATCTTCAGAGGACTGCAGACCCATCTCACGCCTTTTCTCCATGAGCTTGAGAGTCGGCTCCGAGATCTTGCTACGTTTTTTGGTACGGATGGGCTTGCAGAACTTCGAGCCCACCGTAAGGACAGCTTCAACAAACCTGTCATTATAATTGTCCACATCTACGCAGCTCTCTAGGCAATCGAAGCGATTTTGCAGTTCGAGTTGAAAGCGCTCGGGGTTTTGGATCTGGATGGCTTCAGGACGGAGCGTGGACTTCATCAGTCGATTCCTTTCGGCTTTGACATTTAGATTCAATGTGCCTCTTACCATTCGGTGATCGCTTCCCGTATTGAACGAATTGATCACTGAGACATCATTGAATATCCGAGTCTTAGTCGACATGATGAAGTCAATCTCATTTTTTGTCACGCCATCCGGACTTTTCCAGGTCCATTTTCGATGCAGCCGTTTTCTGAAGAAGGAGTTCATCATAAAGAGTCCCTCCTTCTCCATGTAATCGGCTAGCATTTGACCTCGGAAGTTCCGGATTCCAACTCCAAATTGCCCCACTTTCAACTCATCATCGCCACGTTTGCCCAGCCTTGCGTTGAAGTCCCCCATGACAACGGTGTAATGGGTCCTGGAAGCATGCATTGCCCGAGAAATATCCTTATACATGACTTCCACTTCCTCGTCGGGGTGCGTCGAGGTCGGAGCGTATACCTGTATGACCTTCAACGAATACCGTTTGGTGATTCTGAGTATAAGGTACGCCACCCTATTCGACACACTACCGATCTGTACAACATTGTTCACGAGAGACTTGTGGACAACAAACCCGACACCACCCTGGGACAGATCTTCGCCCTCTCGGAAATAGAGCAGGTTGCCGGATTTAAGGACCATCGTGTCCTCGCCCTCTCTTCGGACTTCAGATAGTCCTACAATACTCCAGCGAATCCTGCTCAATTCTTCCTCCAGTTCCAGCAGCTTCTCCTCGGTCCGTAGTGTGCGTGCGTTGTACGTTGCCAGGGCCAAGGTCGTTTGACGGGGGATTTTTGCCGCCCGGGGATTCTTCGCACCCCTGGTCCCGGCGCCGAGTCGGCGTCCGTCAGCGCCGCCACGGACTCCAGCACCGCCGGGCACTTGGGGCATCATTTTAGGGGGTTTTGGGCCGTCTCCCACCACGCTGGCCCAGTGGTATGCATTAAAGGTGACTTTTAATGTTTAAATAATGCCTTATATTCTTTTTGACTACGCGATCATCTTAAAGAGCTTAGTGGATCATCCAACGTACCTTTTGGTCAGGTTTCGGCCACGATTTTGTTCTTGTTTTTGTATCTATGGATTTAATATCATGACAATGGGTCCTAAACTATGCAAATATTTTTTTTACTTGGAATGGAAGGTTTATGAAGAAAGTCATTTTGTATAAGGCTTGTAGCCTTTGTACAAAAACTATAGTCTACACAAAAGCAAAGTAAGAGAGGTCCATTAGTTTAAAAAAAAATTAAGGTTGACCCCATACCAAAAAAAAACATGTTCTTGTAGTAATGGTGAATACATATTCTGTGAAAATATCAACTCTCAAGTTAATCTTAAGCCTTATAAGTCATGAGATTCATACAGGCCTCTGTTAGACTCATGTACAGACTGTAGAAATTAAATTATCTTTGATAAGCAAACCTTAAAAAACAGCTTACATTGGGGGCAACATTCCTTGGGTTTCTAAACTGGCATTCAAATGTCACTAGACATTTGGAAAAATATTTAAATATATATACTTATCATAAAAATATGACATCACAGATACTATTACCCCAAACCTTCAATTTTCCCCAATTAACTTGGAACTTTACATTGCTTAAGATAAGACTTACAATCAATTGAGAATATTTTACAATTTGTGGTAACTTAAGTGCGGCTGTATGGCCAGTCAGCCCCCATATCTAATTTTAACAATTTATTAACAGTAAAGAAATCATGTTAAAAGTAGTTGGGGAAATTTGACAGTTCCAGACACATAGCCACCTTCAGTTCAAGTAACCCATACTTGAACTGTAGGTGGCTATGTGTACCCTAGTACAACTTTGTAAAGGCACCATAAGAACTACATCACAGTACCTTAGGAAGTCTAAGTCATGTTCCACACATTCCAAGTTCTTTTTTGCAGTAGCCATATTTGAGGCAAGTAACACCTCTGCATCTTCTAATGAATACTCCAACATAACATTTGCTCCAAGCCAAAGGTAGACTATCTTTGTTGGTGAAATATTAGCCTTAAAACAGACAAAAACATTAACCTTTTGACCACATCAAAAATAGACATGTGTTAAACATGAGTTTAAGAAAAAATTACATTCAAAATTGGCCTAAACAAGGTTTAAAAAACTTTGTAATTTTTTAGAACCAGGTTTAAATGAATTTTGTATGTTTATTTTTTTAAACTTGTGATCAATCCCAATTAGATAAACTTAATACATGTTATGTGAAACTAGTGTCATATTATGTGTATTGATATTACTTACCTTAACAAATACCTGGTCACTCAGTAGAAATTGAGTGTCGATGGGTTCAGATTGAGTTTTCAATTTTTCTATCATTTCAAGTGATCTAGCCAAATCAGGAATTTGTTGTCGAAGACGTCTCCTCTTTGTAGCCAATGTATATTCCATAAATTTATATTTGCCATGTTGTTCATCTAACTGTCGAAGTACTTTATCAACGCCTCCAGAATTCTCAGGCAAGTTCATGTATTTGTCAACATTGTCCTGTATAGGCAAATATTACTATTAGTAGTTAGTATTATTAGTAAGTCTGTTGTGGTCCCTAGGCATAAAAATGGAGCTGATTCATCAAATGAATTTGGAAGAGTATACCGCGATTTGCGCTGAGTGAGTCATGTAACTGTTTTTTATAAAAAAAGTCACTGTAGTTATGCCACAATCAATAATTATTAAAAATAATACTGAACTGGTATACTAAGGTATTTATTCACAGTTGCATGTACCAGATGTGCATTAAGATTATAACCTAGCCATTATGTAAATATAATTGTACAGTGCCAACTGCTAACTTTTTCAAATTTATAAATGAAACTGAATATTGTTTGAATACTTACAACAAAAACTGCTTCAGGGATGCCCGAAAAAGACTTAGAATCTTTAGAATTTTCAGTACCGTCACCTTCCATTCCTATGTTGGTAAAAAAAACTATGAAATCCTGGCTCACTTTAAAGGCAACAAAAACCAAGGAATATGAAAAACACAATCAGATCATAAGAGAAAAATTCGTTGCACATACCTTTTAGAAAAATGTAAATACCTAACAATGAATAAAGAACTCAAAGCAACAGCATGCAATGAACCACAGCAATTTTTTTTTTGTTGAAGTTCTCCCGTTTTAGGAAAGGCAAAGGGAACAATGCCCATACAGCCTGGTCTTTAATTAAATTAATCTTCTTTTTGTTTTTACTTTTTACTTTAGAATGTCGGTGTGACGCATTCTAATGTTTCTTGGAGTGTTTGGCACGAAATGTATCGAGTTGGCTTTTTCGATAAGCTTCTGTGAGGTAGTCAACACTACAATAAAATTCTCACGTCCACTTGACCGGAATAGCGTATATTTTAACGATTCCACTAATTCTTCAGTTACGCAGACAGTTGTTACACAAAACCACACCAATTTTATTTCACAATATCCACTATGAACGAATTTAAGAATAATTAAAATAAGACGCCAACCGCACTCGATGAAATCCCGCCAAAAACTCCTGAACCACAGCAAGGAACTTACAGACAGACAGGTTAAATGTCAGTGTCACCTTTAAACTAATCTAAGGGTGCGGCCAGAGTGCACTCAGATTCAGATTCAGATTCAGATTCTGAAAACAAGCGCGAGAAATAAACAGTGTAGTCTAAGTAGGTTGCCTGCTTTTTCTCGCGCTTTGTTTTCTCCACCCTCCCCTTGCAGACAGAACCACATGAGGAGGGCCGCCGTTCCTGGAAGGGAGGACCGGGAGGGGAAGCGTAGTTCTTCCCGTCCCTCTCCCCCCTCCCGGTCGCCTACGTCTCCTCGCGTCTTCGCCTGGGAGAAGAGGGGGGAAAAGCGGGCGACAGCATTTGTGGGGGGTCCGAGCGGCCGAGGCTACTCGGACATCCCCCCTTCCGAGGGCGTCCGCCTCAGAGGGCCTTTCTCGGGAGGTTTCCCCTTCGTGACCGGCGGGTCACACCTCCCTTTCCCCATTACATGGTCGGCCGGCAGACCACTCTCTTTGCATATGGCGCAACAGGGCTCGGCAGCGCATTCCGCCGCCTTGTGTCCCTGCTGCCCACACCGGAAGCACGCCTGGCTGCGGTCGTGCTCAGATGGGCACTGTCGGCAGGTGTGCCCCCTGCCCATGCACCTGAAGCAGCGCATAGGAAGGGGGCCCAGCAGTCGCACATGTGCGGCGCACCAGCCCACTCTGAGCACGCCGCCAACCATCACCTTCTTGGCGATGCCAATAGGGCACCGCACCACTGTGAGCCCCATACCCCCTGGGCCAGGACGCAGCTCCGAGGCTGTTACCAAATTGGTAGGACAGCCTGCCTTTTCTGCCACCGCCTTTATGACGTCCGCCATCGTGGCTGAGTCCTCCAGACCAGTTAGCCGTAGGCCCGCCATTTTTTCTGGCCTCCCCACCTCAGCGAGGTCCGCCACCGCCTCTCGAATGCGCGCCGCTAGGGCATCGGCCTTCGTCCCGCTGTCAGGCCCAGGGACAATCAGCAGCTTGTCCCCGGTCTGACTCGCCTTAATGGTGAGACCATCCGTTATGCCGACGTCTGGCAAGGAGATATCACTCCTTGCCTTCCATCACCCTCTGGAGGGTGACGCTCTTATTGTCGGCCTCAGCTGTTAGTTTCAGCGTGATGACCGCCGTCGTCGGAGTCTTCAACTTCAGGGGGGGGGGGGGGGGCGCTGACGATCTCCCCGCCTTTTCTCCCTTACCTTGGCCGGCTCCTGCTGCGTGTCTTGTGTCGACACTGCGGCAGGTGCCGGAGTCCTCTTCCTCTTTCCCTTGCGGGCCACCACACTCCAGGACTCCCGTGGGTCCACGGCCACCACCCCAGTCGGCTGGGTTGCCGGCTTCTTCTTCATGTCCATCCGGGGAGGCTCTGGAGCCTGGTCCCTAGGCGGCAACCTTCCCTCTATGGAGGCCAGCCGAGTGTTGACCATCTCGCTTATAGATGATATAAGCGAGCCTTTCAACTCCTCGATGGCCTTCTTCCATCCCGTTCCGCTACTCGCGTCCTCTCTCACCCTATTTCGGAGGGTCCGCACCTCCCCGCGCAGCTCCTCCACCTCCTTCGCCAAAGCGGCGTTCTCTTGTCGGAGCTCCTCCACTTCATCGCACGCCTCCTCTCTCTGCTCGCGGTACTGTTGGGCCCTTTCCGCAAAGACCCGATCAACATGGGCCTTGCGGAAAGCTATGTTTAGGTAACTCTCCACCGTAACACAGCCGCCATATAGCCGGTTGATCAACGAGTCCTGTAGCTCTCGCTCCTGCATGGCCTCAGACAATTCCGTGTGCATTTCCTGCACAAATTTCGTGGCCCCGTGCTCCAACTCCGCCCATGAGCGACGATCAGCCTCCTCCTCAACGTTGCACCCGAACTCCGGGTCCTCATGCGTCACCATCGGCTTCATTGATGCCGTCGTTCTTTTCCTGCCCCGTCGGGCCTTATTGACCTTGGCGGGGAGGTATGTTCGATCCCCATCTTCATCGCTTCCGCCTCTCAACCTGAGAACCCCTACTGACGCCTCGGTAGCAAATTTAACACCAGGGGTACCGGAATCCCCCTGGCGCCGGTGGCCAACCGGAGCGCATAGGCCGCTGCTAGCAAATTTAACACCCTGGGCAGGAGTTATGGCTTTCCCAGGGCGCCCGGTGTCAGCGGGATCGCAGGACAAAAGAAAACCATTGTCCGACATACTCATTAATTTTTCCCTCTTCCGGGCGAGGGAACCCTACCTGGCCTTCTTCAAAGGTGATTTTTGAAAAGGTTGTCTTCCTTGCAGCCCCCGCCCCGAAGGACGGCGGCCCCCGACCCCCCACCACGGGGGGGTTACGGGTTGGCCGGAAGCGACGCGGAGTTCGCGCCGCAACCACCCTCACCAATGGCGTTTCCGCCTCACCTATGGAGCCTCAACCACCGCTACCCGGGCTACCCAGGGCGCCGGCCGAGAAACCCCACGATGATTTTTTTAAAGAGGTTGTCTTCCTCGCTGCCCCCGCCTCCAAAGGAAACAGTTCCTTTGTAGACGACGGCCCTCGGCCCCGCACTTCGTGCAGGGTTACGAGATTGTCGGTTATTCGACACCTCCGTAACAGCACCCTCAGTGGGAGACATTACGCAGATGCCCGGGATGCACCGTCCTGGACCCATTTCCGTTCCCCTATCATAACTGACCAGGGACAGGAAATGGACCGGGCACACGAGGAGGTTACCGACGTAGCACCCCACTCTGGCCGTACCCTTCGACTACACTGTTTATTTCTCGCGCTTGTTTTCGGAATCTGAATCTGAGTGCACTCTGGCCGTACCCTTAGGGTGCGGCCAGAGTGCACTCAGATTCAGACTCAGATTCAGATTTCGAAAACAAGCGCGAGAAATAAACAGTGTAGTCTAAGCAGGTTGCCTGCTTTTTCTCGCGCTTTGTTTTCTGAGTCTGAATCTGAATCTGAATCAGGAGTGCACTCTGGCCGTACCCTTCGACTACACTGTTTATTTCTCGCGCTTGTTTTCAGAATCTGAATCTGAATCTGAATCTGAGTGCACTCTGGCCGCACCCTTAGGGTGCGATTCAGACTCAGAAAACAAGCGCGGGAAATAAACAGAGTAGTTAAAGCAGGGTGGCCATAGTGGCCGCAGGCAACCTGATTCAGATTCAGATTCAGACTCAGAAAACAAAGCGCGAGAAAAAGCAGGCAACCTGCTTAGGTTACGTACCCTTAGGGTACGGCCAGAGTGCACTCAGATTCAGATTCCGATTCGGAAAACAAGCACGAGAAATAAACAGTGTAGTCTAAGCAGGTTGCCTGCTTTTTCTCGTGCTTTGTTTTCTGAGTCTGAATCTGAATCTGAATCAGGAGTGCACTCTGGCCGTACCCTTCGACTACACTGTTTATTTCTCGCGCTTGTTTTCAGAATCTGAATCTGAATCTGAGTGCACTCTGGCCGTACCCTAAGGGTGCGGCCAGAAAGAAAGCCGAAAGCCGATCCGATCGGCGCTTATCGGCGCCTATTGACGCTGATCCTTTTTCTATAGACCGCCGATGCTATGAAACGCCGATCGGCGCCGACACGCGCTTGTCCGAATAATAAATAATTTGTATTTGAATTATTATCCTTAGATTAAATCAATCTAAGTTATAATCTTTTTATAAATCTAATAACTTTCTAATCTTTTATTAGCTAAGCGCTAAAATTATTTGTTTCGTACTTACCGAATGGTGACAACAAGTCTTTCTTCTGGAAGGATTGGTTGTTTATGCCAATTGCACCAATTTTTCATCAAACGGTTTTTCACTAAATCCAAAATGTAATAAAATGTTTCTTGAATCATTCTTGTATATGTATAAAATCTTTGTTCATCAAATTTCAATTTTTTTACAAATAAATGATGGTGTTCTCCGAAACGTTTCCTTTCTCTATTTATAGGATGTATAGCTGTTTTTCGCATTTTTAAATAAACATTTTCTAACAAAACCAGATCATCGTCCGATGAGTCCGATATTTTGCTTGATCTGCTTTAATCGGCTTCCTTTATGTAGGAAGGATCGGCGCCGATAAGCGCCGATCGCCGCCGATCGGCTTTCGGCTTTCTTTCTGTATACGGCCTAACTACTAGTTAACAAGTTCCTTGATTTGACAGTAAGCATGAACCACCCACAGATGGATGAAATGGAACCTAATCTGTGGAATGCAATCGGAATCAGAGGCCCAAGACTTTCCAAACTTTGACAGATCTGATAACTAATTATAATTTTTTAAGCATGTAACTGCTTGATGTTTAAATCTAAAGAAAATATAACTAGAAAAAACTCCACGCGGACCAGGCAGCAGACGGGACTCGAACCCGCATCCTTATCCGGGCGAAAGCACTGACCAATTATGTGACCGCGGCCCTAATGGCCGGGTCGAAATTATTCTAGCCATTCTTAAGCTGCAAGGCAGCTCCATCTCTTCGCATTGTAGCTAACCCACAATGTCAAATGAATACTTTACAAGTATTAAACATTTGAAAGAAGAAATATCAAATTAGTTATATTTTTTATTTTTTAAGCATGTAACTGCTTGATGTTTATTTCTAAAGAAAATATAACTAGAAAAAATTCCACGCGGGCAGACAGCAGACGGGACTCGAACCAGCACACTTCGCTATCCGGGCGAATGCACTGACCAATTATTACGATCGCCCTAGATCGGGTCCCTTACTCCCTAATTCACATTACACCACCCTTAGTCAAGGTAAGGGTCCCTTAAAATTGGGTAGTTAGTACTACGGGCTTGAAGCCCGCATTCACCCTCCTATGCCATCTCCATTGGTAAATGCTCTAAGCAATGAACTTAGTTCCTTGGCTCTCATTTCATTTAAACATAGACAATAATAATCTCTGTAGTCTGTTGTCCTTTGACTTTGAGAATTAATCATAAATTGTTAAATACCTAATGCGAGTTTAAAATAAAAGCTGTTTAATTGACAAATTCGTGTTATTTAGTGGGTATCTTTTGATCTGAGCCTGATACTATGCTAGCCAGCACTATATAACGAATGTTTCACAGGACTTGTGTTGTTTCAGGTGTCACTGTGCACGGCTACGCCCACTTGTTTTCCCGATAGTTAGATTTTGCTTTCAACATAGGCCTATCAGATACTGCCGTTATGGATATGATGGTGTCGACACTGCAACAGCAACGCGCTGTTACAGAGCAGTTGCGACGAGAAGCAGCTATTAAACGTATTCCAGTGTCAGTAGCAGTAGCAGATATTGTGAAGTTTATTAATGAACACGAGCAAGAGGATTGTTTGCTTGTGGGCTTCTCAAGCCAGAAAGTCAATCCTTTCCGTGAAAAGAGTTCTTGCACTGTTCTGTAAAATAAAATTCTTTTTAAAATAAGTACCTATGTTGCAGACTACATTAATTGGATTTATTAATTGTGGTTACTATGAAGTTGTTATTTATTCTAACACGTGAGTTTGTCAATAATGTTCTTGTACCAAATCTGTAGCTTCGAGACAACCAGCATAAATATTTTCATGTAAAATTTATTTTTACAGTTATTCTATGAAAAGTTTTATAGTTAACCATAATATGTATATTTTCCTTTCTTATGTACTTATCTGTATAATGCAAT